CACACTTAAGATGTGTTTTTATTGTTTGGTTGATTTTAACAAGGTTTCATCAGGTGCTTGTATATACTAACTTACAATTTCATCCCAGCAATGTTCAGAAGTTCCCTCAGCTCCATTTGTAGTCACTAGTGACACGCCTCCCTTAGCTACTGATATATCTCCCATTGGATCCCTCAGGTAAGAGAAATGGCTTATCTTCAGGAATAATCTGGAGATTTATAATTCAATAACATTTCCCACTAAAACAAATGGAGATAGAAGTAGCTGGAATCGAAGCAATAACTTCTATTGTTTTAAACAAGTCTAATCAGAAATGATGTCATCTTATACTGGCTTGTCAGTAAGGACTGAGCAGGCCTCCGTGCCCTTTAGATGCTTTGGGGTTTTATTCTTTCATTCAGCCACATGTTATCCAAAGAATGCAACTGACCCTACAGAGCATGGCCCTGGAATGACCACAAGAACCTCAAAGGAGGGAGGAAAGACAGCATCTTCTCCATCATCCCTCCCGGGTAGCTTCCAAGGCCCTTGCAGACACTAAGCTCCACAGATTCCAAATTCCCATAGGAATGTTCTGTATTTGACTGCAACCTCTTTATATCCTCTCATAAACTTCCCATCACTTCTGGATGACTTACCTATAGTTAATACAGTGTAGACGCTGTAGAAGAATAATACAGAATAAATGCTATATAAAGATGCTGTATTGTTTAGGGAATAATGAAAATAAAAAATCCGTTCATGTTCAGCTTTTTTTTTCAACTGTTTTTGGTCTGTGGTTGGTTGAATCTGCAGGTGTGAAACTTGCAGGAACAGAGGTCTTACTACATAGAAAACTTACTTGTTTATGGAGCTAATATTCATCTGCCAGTGATCTTACCAGGCTTGTTTGTTTGGAAGTGCATAATTATAAGAAAGTGGTTTCTAAATCCAGATGAGAAAAATGACACTTTGAGTTTGAGAGTAGGGGAAGAACAATCCTTTAGAGAGACTTGAAAAGCAGACAGATTAAAGCAAAATGCAGCAGGCAAGGGGACAGAGTCGGGGTGGTGAAGTGAGCGAGCCTGGTGCTTGCTGTGGGCACCGCTGACTTCACAGGTCCTGTTCCGGAGCTGTGCTGAAAGCTGCCCTGGGGTTGTCATCTCGGGGAAGTGCTTACGTGCCGTATCCAGAGAGAGACTCAGGGAAGGTTGACCTGATTTGAGAAATGGAGACTTGGCGACACTCACAGGAGGGAAGGGGACATTTAAAGCTCAGAGAATCAGGAAGGCAAATAGAGAAGTGTCAGTTGTCATAAGTAGAATAATGACAATTTTGCTTGAGATAAAGGCATTTTTAAAAGTACTGACAAAATTTTTTTTAATCCTAATAATTTTTTTGACTTTTGATGTTTGAAGCCCTATTTCACAGGAGCTTAAAAACAGTGCTCTTGCCAGACCTGGTGGTGGATGCCTTTAATCCCAGCACTTGAGAGGCAGAGGCAGAGGCAGGCAGATCTCTGTGAGATCGAGGCCAACCTGGTGTAACGAGTTCTGGGCTAGCCAGGACTACACAGTGAGACCCTGTCTCAAAACAAAAATTAAAAATTGAGCTGTTGGTTCCATGCACAAGTTGGCCCAAGAATGTACATTTTCACTAATATTTTTCCTTGTTCTCTAAGATGATCTTGCCATTGTTGGCTAAGAAGTAAGCTGATCTACAATTTTTGACATTACAAAATAAAGGAATGGGTCTAGACAACTATTCAGGCTACCCAGGCATAAAGCTATGAGATACATAAAGTACAAACTGTCAGTGTTGTTGTAGTAGTAGTTTGCATGATGAATTATGAGTATGATGTTGGTAGGAGCAAAGCAAATTGTAAAAATCACAAGGATGAGAAGAATTGCCTTGATATACCTCAGCCATCTACGATCCTGTGCATTAAGTTTGCGGATGAGAGTTGTATAACAGTAGACAATGACCACAAAAGGAATGAGGAATCCAAAGAATGCTAAGGAGATGAAGTAGTAGAATTGGAAGGGAGATGGAGACTCGCATGTGTTGTGGACGTCATGGCAGGTGGTGATCTCTGGCTGGACAAGATGATACTCCTGCTTCAGGATGGCAAATGGCAACATATATAAGAAAACCATTACCCACACCATGCCACACATGAGCAAAGTGAAGTTGCGTTTAGGCAGCTTCCGGTATGTGAAAGGATGGACAGTGGCCAGGTAGCGGTTGATGCCCATGCAGGTGAGGATCAGAATGGAACAGTACATGTTGCCATAGAAAATGACTGTGGTGATCCGGCACATGACCTCTCCAAATACCCAGTTGTTCCCATTGAGATGGTAGGCAATCTTAAATGGCAGGGTAACACAGAAAAGGAGATCTGCGATGGCCAGGTTGGTGTGAAAGATGACCAAACAGATGGATTTGGTCCTTGAGGAGAGTTTCCACAGGGTCACAATGTTTGCTGGTACACCAACCACAAACACCAGGATGTAGATGGCAGGTATCAGCTTGGTACTTAAGGAACTTCTCAAGTATCCCATGGTAGCATTATTCACATGGAGAGTTGAAATGCTTCCTTCAGGGCAGTTCATTCTTACAGTTGTGGTAGCTCCTGTCCAGCCCTCTATGTCAGAGAATGGGAAGTCTTCAAAGGTATTTGGGGGAGCGCCATTAAAAGTCTTAACAGTTAAGGTTGGCTTTGCAGAGTTCTCTGAAACATTTTTCATTCCTGTAATTGAAAGGAAATATTAGCATATGATTTGTTATCAAGTCCTACCTGTGGTTTAGATAAAAATAAAATGTAATGTTTGATGCTGCATGATTTCTATAACTTGGGATCTTTTTTTATCACTATAAATGCAACAAGATGGCAATCACCTGCATGTTGGGTCTTCATAATAGTGCTAGATCAATGGTTCTCAACCTGTGGGTCATGAGCCCTCTTGTAAACCTCTATCTCCAAAAATATTTACATTAGAATTCATAACAGTAGCAAAATTACAGTTATGAAGTAGCAATGGAAATAATCTTATGGTTGGGGTCACTACAACACAAGAAACTGTATTAAAGTGCCACAGCATTAGAAAGGTTAAGGACCACTGTCTTAGAGGAAACAAAACAGCATAATGGAACATTATAGAAAAATGTTTTATTGCCTACAAGCTCTGTGTGTGTGTGTGTGTGTGTGTGTGTGTGTGTGTGTGTGTGTGTGTGTTCAGGAGATAGTTAGCCAAGTTGAGTATTCAAGCAAACTGTCACTGAAAAGATAAGCTTGAACAAAGATGAGTAAGCTACAGAGATAGAACTTAATACACGAGGTAGGTTCTCATGGTGCTGGCTGGGCGTGGAATCTGGGAATGGCCAGTCAGTTGATTCTGAAAATGTCAATTTCATACTTACATGGCAGTTAAACTCCACTGCCATCTATAAGCAATACTTAGACCAGAGGAGAAGATGCAAGGACAGGTACTATCTTGTGCTAATTTGATATATCCAAGAGATGAATCTGAAAAATTAAGTCACACAATTAATTCCAGAAGGGACCTTAAACCATCCTCTGGGGCCATGATCTATTCGTACATTCTGGGGTTGCATACACAAGTCTTTTCCCCCTTTGTTGGCAACTGAACATGGGGCTTTTCAATGCTAAGCAGCTGCTCTACCATGGGCCCATGCCTCTACCTCTGCACACAGAATTTGATGTTACCTCACATGGAAAAGGGGTTATTTAGTAATCAGGAGATGTGGGCAGAACCCTCAGTTGGCCAAGTCCTTATCCATGTGAGGCAAAAGGATCCGAGTCAGGCTAGAAGTGCTATGCTATTGACACTGGGAATGAAAAAGGATCCAGGAGCCAAGGAGCACGGGCAGTGTCTGGAGGCAGTGTTGAAGGCAAGAACACAGAGTCTCTCCTGAAGCATCTAGAATGAGCATAGCCCTAACAAGACCTTCAGAGGTATCATATGGTGAACCTGTGTCATCTAAAGCAGTCACTGTGTAAACATTTATCATAGACTGCACAGGACACCAATATAAGCATGGTTTTGACCTGTGTTTAACATGGATTTGGTGGCAAAAGATTGAAGGCAAGAAATTAGGGGCAGGGGACCTGCTGTGGGGGGCTGCTGTCCAAACTGCTCAGAATCTAAGGGTGGTCAGTGAACTAGAGCCAAGGCTGTGGAAAGGTGCAGATGGGAACACAAAGTTAAGGGGGCCTCTGAGGGACATCTCATCTGATTGGTTACAGAAGAGGATCTGCAAGCGACATTAACTAGAATGTTAGCCTGTAAAATGCTGGGCAGGCAGTTCGAAAACTGGATGTGACATTCCCAAAGGCCAATAGCAAATGTGAGGTGTGAATGCCTTAGTCCTCACAGAGTCTGTAGTTTAAATTAGGAGAGTGGAGAGATGGCCTAGGGAGAGATACAGGAAGAAGGAAGCAAAGACGGACTTTAAGAGAAATGCCAGGTTTTAAGTGGAGAGAGGACAGAGAATAAAATCCAAAGATAAAACTACTGTGACAACCTGAGGAGTTAAAAATGAACCTTTAAAAAGAAAGAAACATACCAACTATGTGCAATAGATACTTGGCGTGACTCAGCATGTTCATGTAATAACCAGTTCCTCAAATTCCAATTTAAACCATATATTCCAATCTGAAATGCTAGTGCCCTACCAATGAGGTCCTGGCACAAAACCCCTGAATCCTCCATTTCAATATTCATGGGTTATGTTCAGTGGACTGTCCTCATTCTGAGCCAGGGTCTCTCCCTAACTTAATCTCTGACCTTTGCTCCCAGGTGTAAATCCCTTCAGACCTTGTAGTTTGCCCAGGCTGAATTCAGTGTGTCAGGTGGGTCAGTAAGTGAGAGCAACTGCATGTGAAGATGACCCGGTGTCACTTAAGGAAGGAATCATTTGGAAGGTAGCATTCTGTGTGTCTGTGAAAATGTGAGCATTAGAGGAATGTCCTGTGACATTTGAACTCAGTCACTCAAATCCTTCTGCATATTTGTATTCTGGGGGAGAAGTCAGACATCACTCTAAACAAGTTCTTTAGCAAGTTGGACAGAGCGGTATGTACAAATTTCTTCCCTCCAAAGTCTAGTGAGAAACCTGATGAAACCACATTAGTCAGTTTTCATGAATCCTGAGATTGAGCAAGACACAGTGTTGACAGAATTGTTGAACAGAGACACTATTTCTGTGAGATCTCAGGTCTGGCCCCACCCAAGCCTTCTGTTAGTCAGAGCCTAAAGTCTAGTGCTTGTTAAGTTTTATTCATATTAGAAAAAACTGGGATTCTTTGGGTTTTATTTGGTGTGGTGTTTCTGAAATGCTCTCAGCTTGGGAGAAGGCTTCAGAGTAATCCAGGTGCTTCCTGGTGACGATTTTTCCCATCACTCCTCCCAAGCATGACTGGCATCAGGAACCCTCTTGTGTAACTTATTTCCTGGCCACTGTGACTCAGCTCTGGGTTGTCCTCTCAAAGAAACCATAGACCTGTCTAAACCCTGCTTGGACAGCCCCTGCCTTGGGGTCCCCTTAAGTACTCTGCAGGGACCTCAACTTAAGGATCATTCCTTTGCAGAGAGAGGGTGGCCTTCTGTTAATTTTAGTTTCATCCCATCTCTCTCCCCTAACCCTGTTGATTGCCTTGTGTGCAATCCTGTCTCAAATTAGTTCGTTTCAGAGCAAGCAGAAAGTTGCAAGCTACCACATTGTAATAGGTAAAATAGACATGTCCAAGGTGAAATAATTATATTTCAGAGATCTTATTTCTAAAATTATGCATAACTAAATTATACATAATCATATCATATACATATATATACTTGTACACACACACACACACACACACACACGTGGGGGAAGGGAACAAAGAACTCCCTGGTACTGAAAGCTTAAGATAAAAAAGGTATTTAACTCTGGAAACCCTGTAAACATCACTGGCTGCTGAAACCAAATGACCCTTGATGGCAGTATTTTTCCCCACCTGTGTCTCAACAGAAATTATAAAATTTATATATTTTAAAGATTTTTTAATACCTTGGAAGAAAAATGCAATCTTTTCTAAATCAGGAAATTTCACAAATAAGAAAATTACCTTTTGACTTAATTGTAAAGTCTTGGCTCTGCCACAAATGTGTAATTACAGTAGAGAACAACTGATCTTCAACAAGGTTTGACTTGGCAACAAACTTTAGCTACCTCCATGATTCCCTTTGAATAACCCAGATCAAACTCTGCCTTTGGGTTCACAGTTCTTGGGAAATAACAAGAAGAGTAGGTTCATTCGACTCCTACAGTATAAAAGGTCCCTTCTCCCATCCCCATCCTATCCCAGAAGAGGACTTACCACTCTGGCAAAAAGTGGCTGGCAGAAGCAGCAGCCTAGCAGCAATCAAGATAAGGACCTTCATCTCGATGTCCTAAAATCCGGCTACAAAACGTTATCCAGTGTGCAAAGTCACAGAGCAGATTTTCCTCTGCTCCATGTATTGGCAGCAAGTGGGAGCCTGAGAAATGTCCACCCTGCAGTGTGTGGGCAGGGACTTGTCCTGCCTCTGCAGGGAAAGGATGTGGCCACTTGAAGTTTCCGTTATGAGTGACTCAGGCTGAGCCTCCTTGGAGCTTGTTGCCATATCCCTTTAACTCTCTTCTTCACCCCTACCGTTATTTCATTTAGAACTGAGGCTGTATTTCTCCCCAGGGCATTTAAATAATAGACGAGACTGCCGAGTGCTTTTGCAAAACAAAGCCGAGAACAGACACAGAGCATCAATTAGCTTTGAATTGGTTCCACAGCTCAATTTTTTTCCCCATTTCAAAAACATAGTTCCAGAGTTACACTTTCTAATTAATACATAAATAGTTAGAAATTATTTATCAGTGCTTTGCTCAGCCATCGTCAGAGAGGTTTCTTCTTACAGTAGATGGGACCTAACACAGAGACCCACAATTGGACAACACTCAGAGAGTGAGGTTTTGGAGCACTTTGTCCTAAATAGGATATCGTCATCAAACCTTTTTCCTCAAGACTGGGGGGCACCAATACAGAACAAGAGGCAAAAATATTGTAAGAGCCGAAAGGGACAAGTGACTCCAAAGAAACTGTCTTCCAGATAAAACAGGACTCATACCCATGTGAACCTCAAGGCTTGCACAGATTCAAGCCAGACAGGGACCCAGAGCTGAGAGGGGGAAGTGCACATGGCTCCCACCACTGACCAAGAAGCTATCAGCAACTGATTCCTACAGGCAAAGGAAAAATTAGTTCCATCCAATAGAATCTCCCTGGGTAGTATATTAACGGCATGTCAAGGTAGGCCCCATGCCCAGGAGTTATTGGCTAACACAAAAGGAAGTCAATGGTGGTTTTGCAGACTTTCTGTCTCATATATCTTTGTTTGAGCTTTTTTTTTTTTGTCTTATTGGTCTTATGCTTGTGTATTTTAGTTTCCTTTTTTTGTGTGTGTTTTGTGGGATTTTGTTGTGCTGCTTCTTATTTTCTGTTTGGTTCAGTATAGAAAGGGCATGGAGCTGAGGAGGTGGGAAGGATCTCGGAGGAGCTGAGGGGAAGGGAAAGTGTGATCAGAATATAATGGAAAAACTTTTGCAGAAATCAAAATGAAATTGCTTTCTTTTATTGTTTTAAAATTTAGTTCCTAGACTGATCACATAAACTAAATTATGAAAAGCGAACAACCCCTTCCATTTTTTTTCCTTTAAGACAGGGTTTTATATAGCCTAGGATGGCCTTGAACTCAAGATGTAGCTGAAAATTGAGCTCCCAGACCTCGTCTTTCTGCTCCTGACTTGCATGAATTACCACGCCTGGGTTTTGTGGTACTGGTGGTGTTGACCCTAGGACTTTATGCAAGGACTCTACCAACAGACTTACATCCTCAGTCCTGGCAAATGTTTAAGATGTTAACCTTGTAACAGAGGTTCTAGATTGTTTCAAAACTTCTCTGTTCAAGCACATGTCATAGTGCATATTTATAATCCCAGCACCTGACAGACTGCAGCAAGAAGACTGCAATGAGTTGAAAGCCAGCCTTGGCTACATTATGAGTTTGAGCCCAGCCTCAGCAGCATAGTGAGACTCTGCCTCAGAGGGAAAGAAGATTCTCTGCCTACTGTGGTGCTTGCCCAGAACTTAGTTTTGTTATTTCTGGGAGGAAGATGCATTTGCAATAGATCAATGTGTTCTAAGCCATTTAATAACTCTGTAGAGTCAGATTACATTATGGACTCATGCAAACAACTCTATTTGAACTGAAATAATATAATAATTCTGAAGCACAAGCAACTCTATTTGATTGAATTAAGAGCATCATAAAATATGGAAGTACAAGGACTTGCTTTATTCCATGAATCTTGATGAACAGGTCTATATAATAAGCATTTTAAATTATCTATGTTAATTACACACATAATATATGATAATATATTAATTAATTGTATAATTAAGTTGTATATCTACATATTTATATGTGTATATTTATATCTTAGCCATCATAATATCCAATAGTGTTAAATATATTTAACATACCATAAAAAAGAAAACCTGATGCTAATATGTTTGCCTTAATGAACAATATATGATTGTTCCAAGTCAGACAACTCAACCTCTAAAAATGAAGCAAGAATCACATGAGACTTAAAGGCAGAGGGAAGGAGTAACTAGGAAGCAATAGAGAGGTTGATATTAACTTTTATCATCTTGATTAAATTTAACCAAACCAAGTCACTTCTAGAGGTCAGATTAATACTTCAAACTAAACTAAGGTGCCATAAACTAACCCCAGAAAATTGGGGAGGGTAGACATTTGTTGTAAACTTTCTTGGCATCAACTGAGTCCAGCAGTTATGGTTTGATTTGCCTGAGGTCTGGTTGTGGGTCACTTCATCCCCTCTTAACTCCCCTACATAGCCTGGCAGTGCAGCTGGGTAAAGACCTGGCCGTCACAGAGCTGTCCCCAGTCTTCTGCTGAGTGACTGAAAGGGAGATTTCACATCCGTACATTTTTGTTTTCACTTTTGGTTTTGTGTTTGACTTTGTTTCAGTACATCATGGTCTCCAAACTGTTGACTTAAATTTGTTTGCTTTTGCAAAGTCTGACTTCAGTTTGCCTTCTGAGACTAATACTTTAATCTTCAATGTGAAACAGTCACCATCTTTTCTTATCCAGGCAAGAGTGTGTGTGGTCCATCTCCTACAGTGACGCCACATGCTCTTCAGATGGTTGAAATGGGAGGAACTTGTGTAGTGTTTGATTTTTAATCTATTCCTGGGGATGGTGGGGTCTCTTTGGGTTTAAAAACAGGAAAAAATAAGGCACTTGCTTGATACTTAAGCCAGGTGACGTGGGTTCAACCCTTGAAACTCTATTAAAGATGGAAAGAGAACCAACTTCACAAAATTGTCCTCTGACCCCCACACAGGTGCCATGGCACATTCACACAGACACACACACACACACACACACACACACACACACACACACACACACAAAGTATGCAAATCATTTTTAAATCCTGCTTTTCTTCAAGCCTCTCATTCTTTCCGTTTTCACTTGAACTTCTTCCAAAGTTTCATTTCCTAAGAAATTACTAAGCTGCTTGGTGATGGTTCCCACATGGTAGCTGTAGCTGGAGATGACTCAGGAAACAAGCCTCATGAATTCTCTATCACGCTGTCTGCCCCCCAATAATGCAGCAGGAAGCAGCATGTGTGTGGTTTAGAGCCCTCACTACACACATTATCTCCCATAGCTCTGGAGGGAAGCTGGTTGAAAGTCATTCCTCCCTCCAGACTCAGTACACTTCTGGAGCTAGTGATGAAGTTTACCCTAAAGGACTCCAATGCCAGCTATGTGTGGGTACGTGAGCACATACATGTGTGTTCATATGTGTGGATGCATATGGAGGGGGTACATGTGTGCCAGGCGTGTGTGTGTGCATAGGCTAGGAGGTGTGTGTGCATAAGCATGCAAATCTATATGAACATCACTAGACAACCTCGGGTATCACTTCTTGGATGCACACACACCTGGAGGTCACTAGACAACCTCGGGTATCACTTCTTGGATGCTGCCCCCCTTTTTTGAGACAGGGTCTCTGACTGGCCTGAAACTTCACATTTCAGTGAGGCTGGCTGGCCAGTGAACCCTAGGCCTCCTCCTGTCTCTACCACTCCTAGCTTTTTTTTTAAATGGGTCCCAGGAAATCAAACTAGGTCCTTGTACTTGCCAGATGAGCTATCTCCACAACCTCTTCCAAG